GGGAAGGGGATTATGGGGCCTGTCCCCTCAAGGGCCTCAATCCCAATTGAGCCTCAGATCTGGGGTCGGGGGGTTATGGAACCTGTCCCCGTGGGGAGGAATTAAGGGGGGGAAGGGATTTAAGGGCCTGCCCCCCTTAGGGTCTTGGTCCCAATCCAGCCCCAGATCCGGGGGGGGGGGTTAAGGGGCTGTCCCCCCTAGGGCTTGGGTCCCGATCCGGACCCAGATCCGGGGGGGGGGGGGGTTTATGGGGGCTGTTCCCTCTCGCGCCCTGGCGGGAAGTGCCCCTGGGGAGAGAGGCCCCGGCCTGGCTCACCCCGGTCGAATTTCTTGCCCTCGGGGTCGATGTCCTTCACGTCGAAGATGTCCTCGAAGAGGATCCCGGCCATGGCGAGCGGGAGGCGGCGAGCGCGCGGCCGGCGCAGGGGCTCGGAGCCTCACTTCCGGCCAACCTGCGCCCGCTCGAGCCCATGCGGAGCCGCCATGTCAGTGCGGGGCGGAAGCACTTCCCCCGGCAATGTGCTGCGCGTGCGTACAGGGTTCCCCGTGGCTTGCCTCAGGGGCGGAGCCAGGGCTCGCCCACCTCCCCTTCCGCCCCTCTGCCTGTGGCGCCCCGGACGCCTGGGTTCTGTCCCTGTCTGCTCCACCTGCGGGCAGCGCCAGTAGGGGCGTTAGGTGCCCCGCCCCAGAGACCAGCCTCCCCCCACAAACCCCTCCCACTCCCCTGAGCCGCGAGACCCAGACAAACCCCGGGGCACCGCGACCCTACACAAACACCCAGGGCAGCAGCAGCGACCCTCGCTCCGCACAAACCCCAGGGGGGAGCCACCTGGCTGCAGGGGTGGGAGCCTCAGCCGATCTCACGGGGGGGGGGGGGGGGGGCGCAGCGGGACTGTTGTGATAACTCAGGCGGGGGAGGGGTCTCCTGATCTCTCCGGCCCAGGGGTGTGTCGGGGGGCGGGGCGGGGCCGCCCTTTCAACGCCCGGCTGCGGGCGGCTGTTGTCTCAAAACGCCCTGCGGTTCCCCCCAGCTGGGTTGGTCGCTGAGCTCTCGCTCCCTGCCCAGGGGGGCAAGCCAAGGCCCCTGGCCGATTCCTGCCTGACCCCCACCCCCGCCTCGTGCGTGAGCCCCTGCTGGGTGGGGAAGGGGCTGGGGGGCCCGACTTGCCAAGAGCAGATGCTGCCCAAGTGCCTGGGCTTTGTCATTAACAAATTGCAATTAAATCCTTAAACAGATTTCTCTGCCCTCCTGTCCCTGAGACTCCGGATCCCCCTCCCTCCAGTCCCTCCCCTGCGCGGCGAGCCGCTAGCCCCCCGCCACGGGGATCGCAGGAGGCGGTGCTGAGCCGCCCGCATTCCCGGGGGGGGACACACAGCTGCTGCTTCTCCTTCAGAGGCGCCTGCCCACAAGCCCGGCACACCTGGGAGCCGCGGCGCGCTGGGGGAGGAGCCGGCGCTTTGCCCTGGTTGCTCTCAGCTGCGGGCTCGCTCGGTGGATCCTGGTGGAGGCCGCTGGGGCGAGCCGGGGCCTCTAGCGATGTGCACCTAGGAAGGGCTGGCGAGAGGCCAGGGCTGCCCGGCTAGGCACCGAGGCGGTACGTAGCAGCAACAGCAGCGATGGCCCCTGGTAGCAGAGACGTCGCAGCCGGGCTCTGAGTCCTGCAGGGAACCGGCACCTCCACGGCCACGGGGAGGAAAGCGGCAGGGTCTATGGAGTATCAGAGGAAGAAGAAACTGACCAACTTCACCATTGGGCTCCTCTTCCTCTCGGGAGGGATTGAGTACGGTGAGCACTGGGGGTAGGGGGCGATGGGCAGGGGGTGATGCCCTGCCAGCCAGGGCTGGGCACTGAGTGGTAGAGCCGTCACCCGGAGGGTGACTCCAGACACCTTCATTCCCTTTGGGGCCCCCCCATGGGCCCTGCAGAGCTGCTGTGCCAATAGGGGGCACCCACACGCCTCGTCCTGCTTCCTCCATGAATGACAAACCTGCTGGTTTAGGTCCTATAGGTAGAAGCTCTGTCCCTAGGGGTGGGTTTGCGAGTCTGCTCTGGTCCCATCACTGTAGTGACTGAGCCTTGTGGATGTTAATGGATCTGGTGGACAGGGTGAGTCTCTGTCTCGACATGTCACAGATGGGGAAACTGAGGCACTGGGGGGCAAATGACTTGCCTGAAGTCAGGCAGCAAGTTGGTGGCAGAGCTAGGCTCTGATTCTGGCCTGCATTCTGGACCCTTTGGGCTGCAATGGAGTCCCCCCAGTCAGGTAGGTTCTGTGGATAGGGCTGGCACAATGGGTACGGCTGCCCCACTCTGCACTCTAGCTATTATAGATGGTCACAGGTTGGGTTAATAGATGTGAAGGCCGGAAGGGGCCATAGTGCAGGTCATCGGATTTCACCCAGTTAGAGCAGGCCCCCAGCTGAGCCTGGAACTGGGGAGGTGGAAAGGTGGCTCAGACTCAGGGCCCAGCAATAGTCAGGCCAGGATAGCATGAGAGGAAGGAAGAGGCCTTCTTGAATCTCTGAACGGGGGAGGGAAGGGGTGGGGGGAGAGGTGAAGGCTACAGGCATTGTCATCATTGTACTAGAGAACAGAGCAGATTGCCTTTGGAATCATGCTGGTCCCCCCCTCCACCCTACCTCAAGAGCCTCCCTTGTGCATTTGCCGTGTGACCCTGCAGTGGGGCTAATCCTGTCTCTTGCCAGCACACCTGAACTGCCTGTGCCCTGCCTCTGGCATGCGACCCTGTGCTGCCTTGTTTTTCTGGCTGGGTCGAGCAATCCCATGTGAGAGCAGCAGCCGGAGGCAGGGAGCCCTTGTCTGAAACCCCAGGACTGGAGACTGTTTGAGGGGGAGGGACAGCTCAGTGGTTTGAGCATTGGCTTACTAAACCCAGGGTTGTGAGTTCAATCCTTGAGGGGGCCACTTAGGGATCTGGGGTAAAATCAGTACTTGGTCCTGCTAGTGAAGGCAGGGGGCTGGACTCGATGACCTTTCAAGGTCCCTTCTAGTTCTAGGAGATGGGTTATCGCCATTTGTGACGAACTGGGCCTGTTCTCACTGTGGTCTGTGAATGCTGACAGGGGAGTGTGGCTGGGATAGTCTGCATTGGGGGATGGGAGTTTCCCCAGGG